CCCCCTAAAACGGCTCATTCTAACACGCCCCCACATATCTACGTCACTATATGGGAAAATTTGCATAATGCGTTTGTAATGGGTTTTAATGTTTTTGTCTCGTCGCTCCGGACACGGCATCACAGTATGGTGAGGGGCGTAACATTTCCGTCTCACGCTTGAGGTATTCGGCCAATCACAACGCACTGGATAGCTGGCCAATCAGAGCACACCTCGCTTTTCAGAACAATGAGCTTTGTAAAAATCAACGTGTTTCAGAAAGGCGGGGCATAGAGGAGAAACAATAATGTACATTATGTGGAAAATAATGTGTTTTTTTTTACTTTAAACCACATAAACACAGTTCATTACACCAAATACACAAAATAATGTTCTTTTTAGCAGCATCATATGACCCCTTTAAGTCTGCTTTCTAAATACTGAAAGGAAGTAATGATATTAATAGTGATTAATTTATTTTATTGACAACTGAGTGTAGAAAAGATTAGTATATATATATATATATATATAGAGAGAGAGAGAGAGAGAGAGAGAGAGAGAAAACTTGCCTTGGACTCCTACCTCAAAATGTTTTCTAACTCTTTGCAACTCTATAATATTTTACAAGAAATTTTTGAGAAAATGTTGATTGTAATTACAATTGTTTCAAAGGGGTCATATGATGCTTTTTTAAAGATCATTATGTTGTGTATTTGGTGTAACAGAATATGTTTACATGCTTTAATGTTCAAAAAACACATTATTTTTCAAATACTGTACATTATTGTAGGTCCTCTATGCCCCGCCTCTCTCAAACGCTTCGTTTTCTACAAAGACCCTCCTTCCGACAAGCGCAGTCTGCTCTGATTGGCCAGCTGACCCAGTGCATTGTGATTGGCCGAACACCGCAAGCACTCGTCGGAAATGTAACGCCTCTTACCATAATCGCGAGCTTCATCTTTCAAAATAAATGTAAAGACAGAGCCCGAAAGGGGAGCAGAGCCTCATTACACAGGCCACGGTTAAGACAGCTGACTCCACTGTGATGTGACCCTGTCTCTCTCTCTTTCTCTCTCTCTCTTGCTCGCGCACACACGATGCAAAACTCAAGTAATGTCAGTAATGAACAATACTGCACAAATCATAGTGATCATGAAGAATGTCCTTATTCTGTCCCAAACATGTACAGTAAAGTGGATATACAGTATACAACACCCCATCAGTTATATTCAGGTCTATAGTGCCACCTGTTGGCACAGTTTTGTAAGAGATCACGAGAAAATATTAAGTCGTGATAACGAGAAAACTACTTTCGTTATGTCGATATAATGAGATAATTAAATCGTGATAATGAGAAAACAACTTTCGTTACGTCGATATAATGAGAAAATATTAAGTCGTGATAACGAGAAAACAACTTTCGTTATGTCGATATAATGAGATAATTAAGTCGTGGTAAGAGATCACGAGAAAATATTAAGTCGTGATAACGAGAAAACTACTTTCGTTATGTCGATATAATGAGATAATTAAGTCGTGATAATGAGAAAACAACTTTCGTTATGTCGATATAATGAGAAAATATTAAATCGTGATAACGAGAAAACAACTTTCGTTATGTCGATATAACAAGACAATTAAGTCGTGATAACGAGAAAACAACTTTCGTTATGTCGATATCACGAGATAATTAAGTCGTGATCACGAGAATACTACTTTCGTTATGTCTATATAATGAGAAAATATTAAGTCGTGATAACGAGAAAACAAGTTTCGTTATGTCGATATAACGAGAAAATATTAAGTCGTGATAATGAGAAAACAACTTTTATGTCGATATGAGAAAATATTAAGTCGTGATAACGAGAAAACAACTTTCGTTATGTCGATATAACGAGAAAATATTAAATCGTGATAACGAGAAAACTACTTTCGTTATGTCAATATCATGAGAAAATATTAAATCGTGATAACGAGAAAACAACTTTCGTTATGTCGAGATCATGAGAAAATATTAAGTCGTGATAACGAGAAAACAACTTTTGTTATGTCAAGATCACGAGAAAATATTAAGTCGTGATAACGAGAAAACAACTTTCGTTATGTCGAGATCATGAGAAAATATTAAGTCGTGATAACGAGAAAACAACTTTCGCTATGTCAAGATCACGAGAAAATATTAAGTCGTGATAACGAGAAAACAACTTTCGTTATGTCGATATAACGAGATAATTAAGTTGTGATTATGAGAAAACAACTTTTGTTATGACGAGATCACGAGATAATTAAGTCGTTATCACAAAACAAGAAAAAAAAATTATAATCCATGGGCTCTTAGGACTTCGGTAAATCGAAACAATTTTGTTCTTCAAATGACTTAAATACATCCTTTTATATACCCTTAGATATACATTTAATTATTCACACACAGATTTTAATGACTGTCACAGCTTTTCTTGAATTCTTTGTCCCCAAACCAGAACAAATGGATCCCATACACACACACACACACACACACACAAAACAATCACATTGTTGATATGTATATTATTTTACCAGGTTTCACTGGGTTACGTGTACAAAGGTACATGTCAGTTGTATGTTATATGCAACTGAATCATCATGTTCAAACTGGTGATATATGGTCTGGGATCTTTGGAATTTTGAAATCGACTTCAGTCCAATTTGCAGGTAAGAAAAGGATCCCGTTGTAAGCGTCGTTGCAGGGGTTCAGGCTCATATGCATGTCCACTTCAAACTGTTACCCAACAGTTTTGAATCGGTTTCCCACAATCAAGTGCACATTTGATCACATCTCACAACAACAGAGTAAATCTCTCTGCAAATGTCCATGTAAAATCCTTTTAAAAAACAAAAGGAAAACTGCATTATATCAAATTAATCACACTGACGCCACTTTATGAACAGCTTCAAGCTCCTGATAGTAGGTCTTTGATCACTGCGATGGCTCTGGGAGATCTACAGAAATGTGGTTATTTGTGCCTTGCTGTTGGGCAAATTATTGAAAAGCACCAGAAAAAGAGTTGCAACACAACTCCTAAAATCTTTCTAGCAAAAACCACACCGGTGAAGACAAACCATCCTTTGCAAATGATGCGGATGATCTTAGAAAAGCATATTGTTAATCTACGCACATAAATACACAAATAAATATCATGCATTATTAACAAAACAATGAGTTTCCCTGATTATTAGCAATTAACTGTAATTGGAAGACAACTGATTTTAAACAAGCCTAAAATTTCGGAAATAAGCATGAATTCAATACAAACAGAAATATGAAAATGTAGATCATTATTAAAGCCTGTTTCCACCACCGAAAAATTAAACTTGTGAGATATAAACTAAGAATTTCTAGAAAAAAAAAAAATCTGAATTCTGAGTTTATCTTGCAATTCTGACTTTTTTCTCAGAACTGTGAGAAAGTCCAAATTGTGAGAAAAATTCACAACTGTCTTTTTTTTTTCTAATGGGGGAAACAGGTTTCCATAGTTACTAGAACTTAGTGCACATTAAAATTGGCACTCGTGTTTAAAGAATTTTAGTAACAAAATTTGAAACTCAAATCCAGAAAAGTGCCTTTTGAATTAACCCTAATACTGTGTTAATCTGGCAGAATAAGCAACAAAATCCTGATAGTGCTATTAATAACAGTGACTGTGTGTCCTCATAATGACCTATTATCATACACGCTTCAAGCTGTTCAATCCAGCAGCTAAGTTTACAGCAATCCCCCTAAACCCAAAGAGTCTTTATGTGCATTTGTTACATACAAAATAAATAAATAAAAATATCAGTCTTCAAGGAACTTCAACATCCAAAGTGCCCACTGAGGCATCATGGTATCAGTTTGCAGTTGGAGTCGCAGTTGTTATTCCACATTGCACCGCAAACATCCAGATGGCGAGACGGTCCCGGAATATCACCGTAAATCCCAGGTTACGATCTCAAACCATGTAATCTCACATATCAGAGTCATGCTTTCTGTCTTTGTGCTTGCCACTGTTCCACTTCAAATTTACACACAGGTTCAGATGCAGTGCAATTACAAAATAAAATCTAATCGCCCTTTTTTTTTTTTGCTAAAAAAAGATTCCGTAAACCGTAACAGAAATACAGTTTCCAGTCTCGTAGCTGCCATTACAGTCATTTGTGATCGCTGTGTCTTGCAACGTCAGAGGAGAGTGGCTTTTAAAAGCAGTTTGTTGTTCTAGCAGAGCGAGCTACGTCCTTTCCTCTCGTTCTGTTTTCCGGCGAGTGATGTTGCGAGGTTTGATCTTCAAAGAGAGCTCCCACAATGCCTCCTCAGCTAGATGGTCACTGAAGTCGTTGAAGAAAGAGACAATGTCGTCGTTGTGTTTGAGGTCATAGTGCCTGAAAGAAAGAAAAGTAGAAGTCATGCAAAACGCTTAATTTGAAGCTGAAAAAATATCAAATGTGAAGAGACATCTATTAAAAAGACATCTCTAGGCAATAGTTCTCTAGGCAAGTTTTCACAATCCAATACAATTCTACTTCATAAAATCAAGTCCCAAGTAATTTGTTTTCACTTGATTATGGAAGTGTCGAAGTACTCACACTTGCTGGAAGCGCCTCATAGTGTCCAGGATATTGAACTGCTGCCAGCGTTTGGAAAAGTTTATCTTTCTATTGATGAGGTCAGGATTCCCAAGATGCACAAAAGTTAAGTCCTGGAGAATGAGGCCTCTGTATTTTGTGGCAAAATAGGGGAAAGAGCAGTTATAGACGAAATATGACATTTGACACGCAATACAAAATGTGCTTTTTAATGCTTAACATCTGTTCTTACAGATACGGTATACATGGAGGCTCCACATCCGCCAAAGCTGCTCTGTACGCCCGGAAGGAGGAGGAACTGTCAATTAAAGTGCAATATTCCTCCAAACCCTGTGAAGATAACATCAGTTACGTGACGATCGACTGAGCACTAAAATAATATAGAGATAGGGTATGTGATTTACCTCTGACGTTTGCTTCTGCCATTCCAGTCTTCTGATAGGCGCTGAATCCAACGCTGATAATATTGCCAAGTAGGAGTTGAAGTTATTGAGTTTTCTTAAGTGCTAAATTACAGAGACACAGGTTCAAGTTTTTTTATTTTAAATAAATTAAGCAAATAAACCATTCGAATCAAGGTACAATAGTTTGTACCTTCATAATTTTGATAAACTTTAGAAGTAGTTTTTCCCGATCCTGGGCTTTCTCTTGCTGGATTATTAAGGACCGAACCCTTAAAACAAAGAATAAAAAATATATAATGTACTGTATACTTATTAACATGTCTATAAACCCGAAATTTTGGGCTCAAATGTATATGAATGCTTAAAGAAATTGTGTATCATTTAGGTAAGTTGTCACCATTTAATTTTCACCACTTTTAATTGCCTTCACTTGTTTTTAAATAGTCCTGTGACAATTTTGTATATTTGGGTTTCTAAAAATTAATTGGTCACCAGTGTCTAAAGCCTCGTGCACACCAGGACGATTATCGCACGCGCTTATCGCCAGCGTTTTTCGACGCGTCTTTGTTTTCATACCCAAGCGATTTTCGCTGGCGATGAGCCGAGTGAACGTGCAAATTCCCTCCCTGACATTAGATGGCGCTTAATGAAAAACAGAAAACCCCGGTACACATCGAATCCTATTTTATCTGCAATTCTTCTCCATAACAACTCCCTCTTATTGAGATTTTTGTAGTCGCTGTCGTGTTTGTCATAAAGCCCTTTGTGTTCAGACACCAATGAGACCAGCAGCTCTACGTTCATCTTGCCTCGATGCATCGTCTTCGTCTACTAACTTCCTCTTTGTTGTTAGGTATCATTGTGTGCTAGGCAAGACCGTTTTGTGCTTGAGCGCCACCAAGTCGTGTTTCACTGTAACTTCAGCAGCTCCAGGCACGTGAACAAAAGCGCCGACCAATGACATTTCTGACGCGTCAAACCAAAAAAACGAGCCTGAGGCGTTTTTTTTTTTTTAAACGACGCTTTTACGCCTGGGGCTTTGTGCACACTCACATTGACGCCCTTTGTTTAGTCACGAGGCGTTAAGCGTCGGCGATAATCGTGCACGATAATCGTCCTGGTGTGCACAAGCCTTAAGTGTGAAGGTTTTGCAGAATAATAATATGGATAGCTGTAATATGGACCAGACTTTATGCTGCAAGCCAAAAGTCTGGTTCCATAAGACTAGTTTTTCTGGCTGTGCAGTGGCACCTGACGTTTCTTTTCTTAAACGCTAAAAGTTTTACAGCAGCTTGAGAATCAGAGCATCATACCAGTATGACATGTTGTTGAAGTGCTCTGTGAACTGGGTCAGATTGGGGCTCTTTTCCTCATTCTGTTCCTTTGCCCAAAGTAACACCTCTGGGATCTGCAGACAGACAGGAAAAAGGTGTTGGAAAACCCTGAAACTTTAAAGGTAGGAAGCTTGATGAATGACATTAGAGAAGCCATACCTCTATCTTATAAAACAGCTCTGCATCGAGGAGAGTCAGCTGGTCTGCGATCTCATGACTACGGAAGTCATGCAGAGTGCCAGGCCTGTTAACAAACACTCAAAATCAGTTCAATTCACTCTAAACTAACAATTTTTAAAAGAAAGATGATCTAGGTGAGCATTACCTGGCGGCCACACCTCGTGCAGCCAGCGTTTTGAGGGAATTAGTGTACTGCAGCAACTTCTTCTGCTGGACTTTATCCAGGATGTTCTTGCGCAGAACCCGGGCCAGGGTGAGCTCACCATTACACAACAGATTGAACACAAGCTCCATGAGCTGCTTCAGGATGTCTTCTGTCAGCTCCACCAAACTGTTGACACACAAATAAGGGTTTACATTTATGTAGTTTTTTTTTGTGACATAACATGGGCCTATGAGTAAATAGTGTGGAATAACTGCATCAGAACTCAAGCTGTAATCATCTAATATTAGGGTATTCCAACCTTGTATGTATGTGGCATAACACAGCATATCATCAAGGAAAACCCCTTTAACAATTTGCGCAAAAAGATCCAAGTAATTTAATGTAATTTCACTGGATTTATATATATATATATATATATATGTGTGTGCTGTGTGTGTGTGTGTATATATGTATATCCCTTTGTAAAGTGTGCATTTGATATCTGATTGCGTTCCAGCTCACCAAAGCTCATCCACGACACGCACCAGCACGAAGAAGGTGTTTTTACTAGCTCGTTGTTTGATAATGTCAGAGCTGAGAGAAAATCTGGTATATGTGTTCAGAGTTAAGGGTGAAAAAGAAGCTTGGAGTGTACAAAGGTTAGTAATGAAAAGATATGTAAAGTTCCCTCCTGCACCATCAGAAAGGATATCTATAGCGGAGCTTTTTAATGAGGTCCTCTGGGGCTAGAAACGTTCGGTATGTGGTCAAAAAAGCTTCACAGTATAAAACTCGATCTACAAAAGAGAACATAAGATACATTAATTTAATCATAATTATAGGTTAAGATTTAAGAACAATAAATAGGTTAATAAATAAATTACACCACCGTTCAAAACTAAATTTAAAGCAGTAATATTGTCAAATATTATTTACATTTTAAAATAACTGTGTTCTATTTTCAAATATTTTCAAATGTAATTTATTCCTGTGATGCAAAGCTGAATTTTCAGCATCATTACTCTAGTCTTCAGTGTCACATGATCCTTCAGAAATCATTCTAATATGCTGATTTGCTGCTCATCAAACATTTCTTATCATCATCATCAGTGTTGAAAACATTAAATTGTGTCGCTTAATATTTTTGTGGAAACCATGATACATTTCTTTGATAAATAGAACTTTTTTCAAAATAACAGCATTTGTATGAAGCAGCCTTTTTTTTAACAATGCAGAAGTCTTTACTGTCACATTTGATCATTTTAATAAAGTAATAATTTCTTTAAAAAATTGTTTTACTGACCTCAAACTTTTGAACGGTAGTTGAAAAGCTACCTTTTGAGTTTGTTTGATGCACGTGTTATTAAATAAATAAATATTTAACACAAATTAATGGACTCCTTCAGATTAGAAGGGATTATTCTTACCTTTGCGATCTGTTTCGGTGGCGTGGACCAATAAAATATCACCTGATCCAGCTCTGACGTCAGGGCCGTCATCGTTCTGAGAAACACAGATTAGGATTATGCGGTTTTTGGCAAATTAGAGCTTTTCATGTAATCAGCTCCTAAATATAACTTCTTAGAGGGATGTGCAAAATAATATTTTCAAAATCTACTAGTTGAACAACCAGTTGGTCTTAAGGAAGCCCTGTATATTTAGGGTCAACTGAACCCCAACACATGCAGAGATGTCAGGATGTTCAAGACTTGTTTTCAAAAGCAAAATGGAACAGGAAGCAGCATGCCTGCTCACTAGAGTCATATTTCCTGTCTTACTGTAGAGTACAAGTGCTCCACTTATTAACTCTCTTATGTATTCATACAGGGGAGATGCTCTCTGCAGTAGGTCTGACCTTGCAGTGTGAACAGCAGTATTTCACAAGTACTTCAATACTGAGGTTCACCACAGACGCACTGCAGAGGCTTGAATTCACAGGCAGAGGGCATCAGAGAGCACACTAGCACTCTGACTATCATTGCAACCAATGCAAATCAAGACATAAACTTCTAAAATTAAAGATTGCCATTTCTGTTTTACCTCTTGCTTTAGTGTTAAATGAGACATGATCTCGTCATGGTCCATCACGTAGAGCTCATCCACCTCTTCTGAGGTCAACTCTGAATCCACACACTTCTGCTTCCAGCTGTGAATGAGATAGTAGGTTATCAAAAATACAAAACATGAAAGAAAATCCATTTGCTGGTGGGAGAAAAAAAATGCCATATCCCAAAGTATTTCTTTAAAGCAATGAATGTTACCCTTCTCTGTCGGCCGGATCTTTGCTGTGTTCTGAAGCCGAGTCCTGGAGTGAGTCCTCAGCACCACAAGAAGAGTCCTGGCAAAGACAGAAAAAAATATTTAAGGACTATCAGGACCATCACTCCACCCTGAGAAGAATGGGGTTAAAAATGAGACGTCACTGGCAAAATGCTTCACAGGAACAGGACAGCTGGATTTTACATTTTAATAAGATGTAAAAATACAGGAAACAGCACAAGGTGTTAGTTCTGCATTTCACAAAACATTCAACACAGGATTGGGGCATATTGATAACACATTACAATACAGTAAAGTCACTAGCACTGAATAACTATATACACTACTGTTAAAAGTTTGGGGCCAGAAAGATTTTTTAAAGTCTCTTATGCTCACCAAGGCTGGATTTATTTGATCAAAGAATTCAGTAAAAAGAGTAATATTGCGAAATAACATATTTTAAAATAACTGTTTTCTATTTGAATACATAAAAAAAAAAAAAAGTAATTTATTCCTGTGAAGGTAAAGCTGAATTTTCAGCAATCATTACTCTAATCTTAAGTGTCACATGATCCTTTAGAAATCATTCTAATATGATTTGGTGCTCAATAAACATTTCTTATTATTATTGTTATTATTTCTTATTCTGTGTTGCTTAATATTTCAGAGGAAATCGTGATACATTTTTTCAGGGTTATTGGATAAATAGAAAAGTCAAAAGGAAAATATTTATTTGAAATAGAAATGTTCTGAAACGCAAAGGTTTTTAATGTCACTTTTGATCAATTTAACGCATCCTTGCTAAATGAAAGTGTTTATTTTATTATTTTTTTTAATTACTGACCCCATACATTTAAATTGTAGTTTATATATATCAGCTTTACAGAAAGTGCCTTAATACCCATGGCATGCATCATGAAATGATTATCAATAATTATCAAACATGAGGTTAGATAAATCATTTGCGCTAAGCTGTTAATTTATAATCAAACACAAAGCATCACTGGGGAAAATATACTTATGTGACTTTTTGTCTATACATAATAAATATGCATAGACACTGTATACAATTACATACACATATACACCAAAATATTGCACTGCAATCATTCATTGTTTCACCAAATCTTGTTTTTTCTTTTACATTTTTTGTATACAATTCATTCAATTCCTTTTCACTTCATTCGCAGAATGTTGAAAATTTGGTGTGAATAGCTTGATGGCGTGAATGTTTACATATCCTCAATCGCCATATTTTAAAGACAATGTCAAATGAAATTTTGCTGAAATGTAATGTTGACATGACTGTGTAACACTATAGCACAGCTGTCTGTAAACACGCAGATGACCTTCATTTGGATGAATCTGATGATCTGTTCAGGGGTTTTAATAATTATCGCTGCAACTGCATTTTTTTTTTTTTTTTTTTTTAAAGCACACAATCATCAAATCAACAATTACAACAATCAACACAAAGTCACTGAAACTCTACGGGTCTCTTGTTTTGCTGCATGCAAAATCCTGCACAAAGTCACATAATACATACTAGACGTTTAATTTCCAGCAATATAGAGCAGGAGCCAATGAAATCTTACTGTGGGCAGGGCCACCCAGCATGGCACGGCAAAATTTCTTATGCAACAATACTGACAGTCACAGCCGGTCACGACAAAAGCTCAAATTAGCATGCAAGAGATTTATTGTTTGTCGCTTTTGGACACTTCATGCAGTACTGCTGCATAAAGTATGTCTTGACGGCAGGTGTTAAATAAAATTTGGAATTGTCCAGTCTCATGATGCAAAGCCAAGCATTACAGTCACACACAGCACAAGCGCAGCATGTGAGGGCACCGGCACGTCGGCTGCAAACGCTGACATCCTGTTACTTACTCCATTGGAGAGAATCACATCTCCATTGGCTTGGTTGGATGAATACAGATTGACGTATTCACCCTCCCCACCTTCATCATTAGCACTTTCGCTCTACAGGAACACAAGAGGGAGGACAGCACAAGCATTGACAGGCGTCAGAGTAAAGGTGTGGTTCGGAGCTGATGCCTACAAAGATGAAGAACAGCTGTACTAAACTTGGCAGAGGGAATCTATTGCTTCGGTGGGCCTGAAATCAAAGGACACTTGGTAGCAAAGCAAGATAAAGCACGACCAGCCTCTGGAAACTTGTCACGATGTTGTGCATTCGAGTGATTTTACTACAGGAAGCTGGATTGCATTAAAGTGGGCTGCCTAAAACACTGTGGTAAAATCAATGTAATGCAAGGCCTCAGGTGACTCACTGCTCAACTGCAGGAAAAGAAATATGATAAAAGACATCAAATGTTCAATACATGATTACATTTATACATAACTATGACAATAAACAATTCCTCCACCTAATAATATTGTTTATTAGCTTAACAAAGTCTCTAAATATGGAAGCAAGCATCATTTATCATGTAATAAATCTATATTGCTCCCATTCTAATCAACATATCCATCTACATTATAAGTGTATTGACGTCAAACTCTTGAGCTGACAGCTTCACTGATTATAATGTGAGCAGTCGCAACAAGCCGTGTGCTTACAGTGTAGACTAACGTAATAGAGTTAACTATTTTCTCAAGGTTTTTATGTATAAAACAAAAGGTAAAAAACACATCTTTTTACTTTTGCTTTTAACTAGAAATGACTTTTCTAAAGCAATGTATTATGCTTTCTTTTATTATTGCTTATTTTTTAATTCCCATCTTTTGTTATGCATTTTATGCAGACTCATTTCATCTTCTTTTATTATTATTGGTTTAATCTTCGCATCTATTGTGGGTTTCATCTTTAATCTAGTCATGGAACTGTGGAACTATGAGCTGCATTTCTTGTATGAAAAAAGCTATATGAATAAATAAAATAAGTTTATTATTATTATTATTGCATTTTGTGTAATGAGTGAAAATGTATTGAGCATGACTATTCTATGTAATATTATTTATTTTATTATCAAATTATAATTAAAATAATAAAAATAAGTTAATTAAAGAAAATAATAACAATAATAATCTATTATTATAATTTAAAGAATAATAAAACAAAAACAACAAAAAGTCTAAAATAAAAAAACTACTACTATATATTAAATAAATACAGACATTAAATCCCACAGCTGATCAACTGAATCATTGCCACTTCATATATATATACATACATACATACATCTAATATAAAGAAATGGGACACAAAGTACCAGCTACCAACCCCGAGACAGATCACCTATATAGTCGGTTTCCCAATAAGAGGTATTGAAAAGAGTTCCCTGTGATTCAGTAGACTTAGTCAGAGGATACAGCTCAGCAGACATAACATCATAACAGGCAGCTCAGTCACCTAACAGTGGGGAGCCCGACGAGTCCCAGCAGGATGATGCATGTTTAACCTGAGCTTTTCAGCAGGTCACAGTTGCAGGACCCCTGTATGGTACATGCTTTTGACCCTTTAGATCTCTGCCACTGAAGACTAGAGGCATGTACAGGAAAGAATAATAATAAAATAAATCACTGAACCCTAACAAGGCAGTGCCTCCGTTAATTGAGGTTGTGAACTATTCGCTGCCTACAGGCTACAGCACCTGTGATTCATGTGAACTATTATGAACATGTTTCCTTTTGTAGCCGCTGGCACACACACCTACACAGAGTCAATAATTAGACAATCAGCGGTGTTTGCATGTTTGTGCTACTTCACAGCATGTGGAGACAAATTGAAAAACTTCAGAATCATAACTGCAGTGTTTAAAAGGCTGCATCATAGTATTAAAGTTCATCCAAAATTGAAAATTTGCTGAAAATGTTATCACCCTCAGGCCATCCAAGATGTAGATGAGTTTGTTTCTTCATCAGAACAGGTTTGGAGAAAATTTGCATTACATCACTTGCTCACCAAAGGCTCCTCTGCAGTGAATGGGTGCCGTCAGAATGAGAGTCTAAACAGCAGGTAAAACCATCACAACAATACACAAGGATTGTGATGTTTCTGTCAGCTGTTTGGACTCTCATTCTGACGGCACCCATTCACTGCAGAGGATCCATTGGTGAGTGATGTAATGCTAAATTTCTCCAAATCTGTTCGGTGAAGAAACAAGCTCATCTACATCTTGGATGGCCTTAAATTTTCAGCATATTTTCATTTTTAGGTGAACTAATCCTCTAAAACTTTACAACTGGTTCCTAAAACCTAAACTCACCTAAACTGTCAACACTTTGCAGGCACTGCTGTTAAATTAGGCTTTAAAGAAGATATGAAAGGCTTTATTAGTTCAAAAAGATGGGTTAACGGGTTAGAGGCCAGCAAAAGGCAAGCGAGACTCACCGTAGGGACAGGCAGGGAGCCCTGGTGGTTCAGACAGGAGTTAGATGCAGAAAGGCTGAGAGCGCTTTCTGTCTCACCAGGGCCAGGCCCGGACGCACACTGCTGCAGCTGACCCGACAGAGAGGAGGAAGAGGAGGAGGAAGGAGATGCAGAGTGTGAGGAAGCCTAGGAGGGAAGAGAAGAGTGGAGGAAGGAAGAGAAAAAAGGCCAGAGATTCATGCACAGTATAGATTATTGAGCAGATGCAAGCTGAATGAAGAAATTGACCTTAGTCAGAGCAGACGGCATATTAAACGTGACACAAATAAAACATTTTTAATCATAGTTTGTGAAAATCAGATGTGACCTTAGGCCTTAAAAGCCCTATTTGAATGCTATTTTTATTTGTGTCCAGTTAAATATGACGTCTATTCAGTCGAAAGTCTACTGTGAAGCATGAAAGAACATTATGTGAAAGAATTGTGTAAAATATTGGGAGACAAAGGTTTCTATTTTTTGCCTGCTTGTGCTTGCTAGTCAGAGTGTGGGAACAAAAACAGGAAATTACTAAAACTAAAAGCACAAATGAATGGCTAAACTTGTGCGTAGTATAGCTCCTAGCACATATGGTTAACTTTTTACCTAAGCTCAAAACTAAGCAACACATCTCAGTGAATCCTTCTGCTCAGTCACACGGACTGAGAGAGAAAACAGTGAAAACTCACTCAAGTCAAATGAAATGAGTTAGATGGGTTAGCAAGACAAGAATGAGGGCAAAAGTAAGAACAGTACAAAGCATTGAAACAAAAAAATCTAATTAAGATGCTGTTTTCAGTTTATAGTCAAAAAAATTCGACCCCATATATAAAATAAACCCCATTAATTAAAATAAATACATTTTATATATATATATATATATATATTTTTTTTCTCCCTTGGTGCCCACTTTTAACCTTATCAGTACAATATAACAGACTATATTTCTCACCCTTGCATTGTGCCTTCAAGTCTTCTATGTAAATTTCTTCTTTGCATGTCAAATTAGATACAGTGTCTTCAAATGCCTTTTTCTCATGCCTGTTTGCAAGTTTTCAGATTTCCCTCTGGGTCCTATATGCATTTCATCATTTATATGTTATAAAAGGATGGTACATTTGTAAAACTGCATTAGAGGATCATAAAACAAAACAAGTCTGTTCTAAAAAGTGTCATAAAAATAACCAAGAACCTTGTTAAAAATAAACTTCAGTCGCTTGAGATGCCACAAAAGGATATGCAGAGCTGCAGGCGCTACACACAGCCAGGAATAGCACAAGATTTAAAGGATGATACTACATTTTACTCTTATTTGAGCTGTTTCTCATAGGCATTAGCTGAATAAACATCAGACACGTTCACACACACCACACAATGAGAAATAGATGATGTAAGATGAAGACGTACTTTTACTGGCATAATACGACACTGATCGCCCAAGGCAACACTTGAACTTCAGTAAGACCAACACAGAATGAATGCTTTTCTACAAGCAATAATCTGACTCTACGGAAAAATATAATACTGCTACCATTATGATTAATGGTGACTCTCAGTAGGAAGAAAAACATTGCATCAACGTCTAGGGAGGGTGAGAATGAGACAGACTCAAAGTGTGCACAGCGTGTGTGGGCGCAGCACTGACGGCAGTGATCTAGCTCTCACCAGTTGTCTCTGTTTGGGTGGCAGTGCTGGCGGAGGGAGGGTCTCATCACTGCTGCTGAAGGAGTCGCTGAGACCGTACACTTCCTGAAAACGCTTCCTATTGCGCTGCTCGTAAATGCTTTCACTCTGTGGTGTCTGGTAGAAAACGGAAGGCAGTGGCTCAGAATAGTCCTCCATAAACTGCATGTACTTCAGTACTGTGGGTAAACGAGGCAAAAAGTAAATAGGTTAAATCAAGACACAAGGTGCTAAAAACTGCATAAAACATGCATAAAGAAGGTAAAGGTTATGATGCCAAAATGAGACTAAGAGACTGTAAGAGGGTGTGAAGGCACAGTTTACTACATGAATCATTCATAGTCATTCAGCATTTTATTCTGTTTATTTGTGAAATCAAGCAGAATTTGGTCATAATCCCATTTGTAAGCAGTATGCAAATTAATATTGACGCTCAATATTCAATAATCTCAAGATTCAATAATCTGCTAACTAGGATGAATCTGTATAAAACAGATGACATATGCATGTATTAATCTAAGTTTTCTAGAAATAATTGTTATTTGTAATGTCAACAGTATTTTACATTAATTTTTAATTAGATAGATAGATAGTTAATTCAACACATTCCTATGTGATATGTTAAAGATATGAATAACAGTTCACCTGTATTTATATAAAAAAAAAATTATAATAAACAAATAAACAAATAAATAAATATTAGGTTTATATCCTAGATTTTTTTGGAATATGAAGATTACCAAAAGGCTCAAACATAAATTGAACATGTCTGTAATGCTCTGTAATAAATAGAGTTAATAAAATATAAAAGAGAAAAACAGCTCAGCATCCTCTGTGTGGCCTCACATAAACTCTTCTATCAAGCCACACCGCTCATGTGTGAATTACGACATGATTCAATCATCCCTCCCTCCAAACAAGAGTCTTTCAGCAAGAGCTCATTTCCTGCTGGCTTGGGTGAGGCCTTGAACTGTATTCACTAAGAGATCTCTCCAACAAAGGCATTATGCCATCTGACCTCACATTGAAGATGACATCACTGTATCCTATCCCCTACCCGACACTGAGGGGCTTTACAGAGAAAAACTCGTGAAAAACTGGCTTTGCCATACTGCGTCATTCCTCGCATAGATTACACAAGGAATTTAGTGAACTGTGCAAACAGCTTATTCTGAAGACAAACAAAAAAGCCAGGGCTCGAACTACCTGTTTGGTCACAGCACTCAAAGATTAAATGCTGCTTTAAAGTTGGCATGAAATGAAAATTTCCCACAAAAAAAAAAAA